GAAGATTACTCCTAGTTTAAGTACATATTGTTTAACACAATTATGAGCAACAACTCTTGTGTTCAAACAATTAACATGAAGAACTAAAACTATAACACAATATGAGCAAAAACCCTTTTGTCTTTTACATTGATCTGCAAAGATGTATTTGATTAGAAGTTGAGTAGCATCTTGTAGTGTTCTTCTTCTTCATCTTCTTTGTTGAGCGAGTTATGAGCAACAACTCCTTGCTTCTTCATATTTCTACCAAAATGTATATGATGAGAATTTGTATATCATCTTGTAGAATTCTTCTTCTTTCTTCCTCTTTCTTTATTTTCTCTCTTTACTTTGTGGTTAGCTTCAACATGTTCAACTTAATAACTTCAACAACATATGCATTCACGAATTTTTAACAACTTTACTTCATTTCATTGATCTTCTTTTTTAGCCTTCAAGAAGAGTCGTTGTAAGGATATAAATGTCATTTCTCCTTCCAACAGTTGATTTCCAATGGATAGATTCAAGAGAGGTTTGGAACAGTGTGAAACGTCACTTTCCTTAGCATGTTGCTTGTAGTTGTTAGCATAAAATTGTGGGAGATAACTTCTGTAAATAGTACAACCAATATCATGATAGTGGAATTTGTGGTGTACTGTTTATACTGTATTCTTCTTGACTAAGTTTCTTGATCTTTATCTTCTGATGATGTACTTCTGATTCTGAAGTATTGAGCTTGGAAGATATCAATCACTTTATCTTCGTTCTTCTAGTGAATAATTGATGAGTAGTTTAGAAACTACTTTGTTGTTGTAGCATAGGAACATCAGAGTTGTCAGAACCAGGACTTGTCTTCAGAAATAATAGCAACAACTTTTCTGAAACACGAAACTTGACTTCTGGTATTAGAACTAGTTTTGAAGGCGTATTTCTGATATGATATGAGAGATGAAGATTATGTGAGAAGATGTTTCATTTCAGAATCTTTCATTAATGGATTCTTGTCTTCAGATATATAAGCAATAACTTATCTGAGAAACAATTCTTGTCGTTGTAGGTGAAAGATTTTATGATGTTGATATCAAAAGATTTTTCTGATGTTTAGATCTTGAAATCAGATCTTGTGGCAACAACCTTTCTGATTCTCAAGTCATTGAATTTTTGAGCTTAGATTCTTTTCTTATTGTTGGATTGATTCTGATTGAAGAATGGTAATGACCCATAAGATACTTCACTATTGTAGAGTCATAATCTTTCATATATTTGAACATTGTCTTCATATATACAAGCAACAACTAATCTGAGGAACAACTTCTTGTTTATGAGTGAAAGCTTTTATGATCCACTATGTCTTGATCTTGATCTTAATTTCTGGTAATCATCTTGTCTGAGATGCAGATCTGATGTCTGATTTATGAAGCAGAAGCTTATACCAGTACATCTGATTTTCTGGTTAATTCATCTATATTTGATCTTTGATTTATGATGATAGCTTCTCTGAGCTGCATATTTGATGTCTGATTTCTGAAGCAAAAGCTTATATCAGTACATCTGATTTTGACGTTGAATTATTTCTTGTTGATCTCTTGAATTCTGATCTTTAGATTGAGCTGGAAGCAACAACTTATGTCAACTACATCTTGATTTCTGATCTTGAATTCTTTCTTTCTAATATCCGAGATCTTCGTTTTTGATATCTTGTTTCTGAGCATCTCCATTTATGATATCTTCACTTTATAACTCTTGATTCTAATGCTCAGCTGATCTTTGAATCTTGACTTATTGGATCTTTGATTTCTAATCCTTTGAAGCTTGGGATCTTCTTAGAAACTCATCGAGATTCTTTTCTTATCGAACATTCAGCATTCAACAGAACTATTAATGTTTCATTAGAAACGAACTCAATGGTTCTTCTGAAGGAAAATTGCGATCCAAAATGCAGCGGAAAATTAAAATTTTCCTTTACTGATCCTTACGAATAGGCATGGTCAGTGATAGAAATCATTACCTCTTGTGATGATTCAGACCTTTCATGTTGTGATCACGAATGTTTATGAATAGCAACGTCTTTACTCAGTCCACACGAACAGATCACTTCCGGACATAGTGCTAGCTGCTTACGAACGGAAACTTTGAGTGAGAGAATGAGACAAAATATACGGCTAGAAATCAAGACCAAATTTTCATCAAGTCAAATTTTTCAGCACAAGGGTTCTATTTATAGAACTACTTATGTGGGCTGCAAGCTAAAATCCCAATTAAGACTGCAAGCTAAAAGCCCAATTAAGCATACGAGTATCATACCTTATGATATACCGCATATCACTTAAGCGCGTGGTACCTTACCACATTCCATATTTCACTTAAGTACACCGTACCTTACGGTGTTCCTTATTTACTCTATCTCTCATCAACTTGTCCTTATCTGTGTAACCCTGTAGGTTTTCGCGACGTTGGTAATTATATTAAATTACACATTTAACATAATAAACAGTGAGCGATATCTAGCAACACATCACTGCTACCCAAGTCACGAAAATGTCATGTGATCTGACAAAACCTTTCTGTGATAATATTTGCATGTACAATTACCCTTTTATCCTTATGTCTATATTTAACACAAGGCATAAACGGTGTCACCCTTGTCCAGTTCAATATTTGACCCTTAGACATTTATCAAGTTATGCAGGATGGACAAATTCCATCTAGGTCACTCATGTCCCTCAACATGCTTTGTGAAGTACCCATCAACTGTCTTTATGGTTATCCAGTTACGCATAACATTTGAATAGAAATAAAGTACTTAAGTCCACATCTAAGGTCCATAGTAGTTTCAGGTCGAAGGGTGGTATACACCATTATCACCCTGAGAATAACTTATGACACCTTGCATAGCATTCTATGTAGTATTCTCATTGTGGGTCAATCCAGTATAAATATTACCCCTAATATCCATACATATGTCAAGACTTAATAACTCCTTATCTGTGATCCATGAGGTGTGATCACCAGTCTATCTTCATAATAATCTCAATGCTTTAATGTTATCCCACTTTGCAATAAAGTTCGACTATAGATATTTTAAGAATAGTGTTCTTATGTTTAATGAGATCTCATGATTAAGTCACACTTAATATTTCATTAAACAAACAAACTATTCTAGGGACTCTATTATTTTGGAAAAGCAAACATAATAAAGAAATGTCTTTTATTATTAATAAATAATTCGATACAAGTACCCAAAGTATTGGCCTCTAGGGCTTACACCAACATCTTCTTCTTGATTAATTGTGACTTTTGAAGCCGCATTTTATTGAGAAGTACACACATGATCCTCTTTCTGGTGAACATTCATCATTCTTCTGAACTACTGGTGTTTCTTCAGAAGTGGATGTGAACAGTCTTTCTGATGTGCTTGGCGTGTTTCTGATTCTCCAGACAACAGTCTTGAATCAATTAGAATTTATTATCTACACACTCAAGAAACATATTAGAACTGAAATTGTTCTGCATAAAATATATGCATTGTTACCATCAAATTATAGAGATTTAAACACATATTCAAATCTTGTTCTAACAAATATCATCTACAAACTGATCCAAGTAAGGATGGAAGGTCTTATTCATATACTCCATGAACACACCTGGGGCATTACACACACTGAACGACATCACTGAGTACTCATAGTGACTGTATCGAGTTCTAAACGATGTCTTTGGAATATCTTTATCCTTCACTCGAATATGATGATAACCTGATCTCAAATCAGTATTACTAAACATAAGCACCAATCAGTTGATCCATAAGGTCATCAATTCTAGGAAGAGGATACTTGTTCTTAATTGTAACCTTATTCAACTATGGATAGTCAACACAAAACCCCATGCTACCATATTTCTTCTTAATTAATAATACTGGCGATCCCCACGACAAAACACTAAGTCTGACAAACATTTCCTCTAAAAACCCTTCTAACTGTTTCTTCAGCTCACCTAACTCTGATGCAGACATGTTATACGGTGCCATCGACACAGGTTTAGTACTAGGTACTAAATTTATGGCGAACTTAACTTTTCTCTCTGGCGAAAAATCACTAATTTCATCTTGAAATACATCTGCAAACTCGCACACCACCGCATATCAACAATCATAATTTCATTGTCGACTTTCAAAGAAGCAAACATCGCAGACACTTAAGTCTCATCTTTCAAAAACTCTTCCACTTGATTAGCATATATAAACTTCAAATCTTCTTCTTCATCAAACCCAGGGAACATCAATGACTTGTTGAACCAATTAATATAAATATGATTGAACTCCAATTAATTTATTCCAAAAATAACATGGAGTTGACTCATAAAATTCTAACTCAAAGCAGTTACATACATCTAACCAAATATATATTAGAGAGTTGGTAATCTAACACTTGCTAGTTTATTTTATAATTTGCACCATTTCAAAAGACCAATTTATGACTCAATACAAAAATTAATTAATTAAAATTAATAATTGATCCACACTTTTATATATATATATATATATGTGAATAATTAGTCCATACTTGGTAGCCAGCTTTCGCTCCTTTCAAATTAATATTAATATTGGAGGAGTGAAAACCGAAAAGGAATCTATAACAATAAGTTGGACTTTTCATTGGCACAGAAAATAATCACGTTATAGTATAGTTTTATGACATATTTTATTTGCATCCACTATAAATTGTTTACAATTTCAGTAAATAATTAATGATATTTTTTTATTATATACTTAAATATTTATTATTGTAAATTTATTTTTTACATATTATAATGAAAAATAACTATGATTTTATTAATATTAATACATGAAATCAAAATTCATCAAAATTCCAAAACATGGACACGAGTTTATCTGTGACAATTCATAGTATGATGAATCCAAACATTAATTGAAAATCAAGAAAGTTAAATAAAAACAAAAACACAAACACAAACACAAACAAAAAACCATGACATGAATCCTTGAAACCAAGAACTAGTACTTAGGACTTAGGAGCAAAGTTAGACTTGATTTTGTGAACCTCTTTGGTACCAATTTGGAAAGCTTGAGTCAAGACATTATCTGGAACAGGTGGTGTAGCATTAAACAAAGTAAGAGGAATATTCACAGTCCCTGGCAATTGACTATTAAACCCAGCAATAACAGTAGCAGGTTCCCAACCATTGTTCTTCTGAAAATGAACCAAACCTTTAGGAAACACAAACGTTTCACCTTTAGCAATGGTTTTTGCAATCAATTGATTCGTTGTTGTTATGAACCCAACGTCTAGTTGACCTTCAAGAACAAACACCATTTCTGTTGCACGAGGGTGCGTGTGAGGCGGGTTGAGTCCACCGGGCGCGTAGTCGATTCTCGCCATTGAAACACCAAGAGTGTTTAGTCCTGGGATTTTCTGAACATTGGCTCCTGTTACTAAGGAACCAAATGTGTTGTTTGTTGCACCTTGGTTGACTAGTAGGTTTGAGAAGAAATCTTCTGCGCTTACTTTCGATGCTGGTTTGCATGTGAATCCGTTCACTAAAATCGCTGTTAATTTTTTTTTGTCAATAATTCAACTTTTTTCTAATAGTATCATAGGAAACGGACAAATTAGGAAAATTAATCAGAAGCATAGGTGGATTATAATCGCAGTGCATGATTAAACAATATAGTCAACAAAAAGCCAAATTAAAGGAGTTGGTAGACATAATAGAGATATTCAGATTAACATGATTTGAAAAAGGATTGAATATAATAATTAGCATGAAAGTTGTACCAGAAGCATAGTCTGCAACACATAGATCTTGAAGAGCATCGGCATCTGCTGCGGTGGCGGTGGAGGCGGTGGCTAACACCACAAGCAACAACGCTCCGATGAGTTTCATCATAGATTTAATTTGAAGGAGAAATTTTGATGCTAAGTTGAAATGAAGTGATGGTGTGCTTTGATTATTTATGGCAAGAGAAGACTTCTGGAAGAGAGAGACAGAATAATTAATATATCATGATTTTAAGACTTTTGATTTATCTTATATAAAAAAAAATTATAAATAATTTTTTCATTTTAAAATATTAACATTTTAGTCAAAAGTTAAAATCCACATATAAATTGATAGATTTTCTTTCGAATTTACATGCGGATTTTAATTTTAAGAACAAAATAACATTGCTTTTATTTTTATATTAAAGACTTCTATTTCTTTGAAGAAATCTTTCTATTAGGGTGTATGTTTGATTTAAGAGAAGTGGTAAAGAAAGAATAAATTGATGGGAAATGTTGTATTTCTTTTGTTTGTTGGGCAAAGAAATAAGTGAGAGAGATCTTTAAAATGTGGGTTGCATAGCTTTTTACTATCTTTTAATACTTTCATTTATGCCCTCGTTTTATTTCCTAATAAATCAACTACATTAAATATCATATTTGTGTAAGTAGAAGCAAATTTAATAATTAATATATAAAGTGAATTCTTATTTATCTAACTTAAAAATTGGATAAGGTTATCTTTAGTGTAAAATGCATTGAAAATAATACATAATTGTATTATTTAATAAAAAATTAAATAAATTAAAATTCAATAATATTATGTGATTGGTTGAAAATACAATATCTAATTTTTTGTGATAGGTAGAGAAGTTATCCCTTATACATAATTGTATAGAAATAGTATAATAAGACTATGACAAAGAACTGATAAACAAAATCAGGCAAAAAAAAATTTTTATAAGAGGTATAACTGATTTATTAATTAAATTTTAATTAAAAGAATTAAATTGATTTGTTTAAAAATATTATTTATTATATGGATATTATAGTACTTTTAGAAATATGAAACACTTCTCTTTTCTCTATTTCTTCTCTCTTTCTCTTAGACCAAACAAAACTTTAAATCTATTTTATTTCTTATCTTTTTCTCTCTTCTTACATTCTCTTTTCTATTTCTTACTTCACAACTTCTCTTCTATGCCAAAGTTTTTCAACAGTTTGAATCAAGCATTTCTAGATCACCTCTAATTTATTTGATTTGAATCAGACTTTATTCCTGATTCGAATAAGACGGTTTTTCCATATTTTTTATTTGGATCTGTTTGAATTTATTCGAATTAGAATAACACTTGATTTGAATCATGAGGTCTTTGATTCAAATCAGATTTTGTTCTTGATTCGAATCAGATGAAAATGGGTCAAATTTTATTTTCCTTCTTATTCCACTTCACTTGCTCATTTGACTCAAATCATGAAATGTTCTTGATTCAAATCTAACTACCTTTTTTCATTCATTTTTTAGCTTAATCTCAAGCACATATAAAATTATTTTGTCATCATTTTTCAAACACAACTCTTAAAAATTTCATAATCAACATTGTGATTTTTTGTGAAACCAACACGCTCTCACCTTTGAAAAGTTCAAAACCCTTGCAACAAAATTATTTCATCTTCAACCTCTATTTGATTTCAAATATTGACAACGAGAGATTTGTAATTGATTGAGTGATAAGTCGTCTTAAAAGTAATCATTCTTGAAGATTTGGTTGAGATTCATGTAGATTGCAAGATTGAGGTTGTTGTCATTCATGCTGACAAATTCCAGTGAAAAAAATGAGGTTCTTCTCTCCATATTAACTTGGTAGTGACAGTGTGGAAGTCGAGTTCTTCTCAAATCTTCAGACAGTTCATTGCTCAAGCAATTGGTAGGATCAAGTGGGGATTGCTACACATGAAGGCTTAAAGTTGATTGGTGATACAGGAAGATTTAAGAAGCGCGAATTAAGTAAAAGTTACGTAGAAGAGTTTGGTATTATGATGTATACAAGTCGAGATCCATATAGGATATATTTATCTCAGCATTATTATGGATAAGTGATTGTATGAACTCTAGAAATATTTTTTAAAATCAAAAGGAACAAAGAAGGTTCCAATGGGAAACCATAGAATAGTATAGTAGGTTCACGCGAGGATGAGAAAGTCTAATCACTAGAAATCCTGGTGTACTCTCTATCTCTCTTACTCTTGCATTTAATTTTCGTAGGATATTGCATACTTTGGTTTTTCAATTTTTAGTATAGTTTATCGTTTATTCAATTGATAGGGATTTATTGTGTAAGGTTAGATTTTGTTATAATTGGAACTTAATTAGGCTTTAGTGGTGATTAAATTTTGTGGAACTAATAATGTTAGAATCCAATCGCAATTGAAATGTCGTATAAGACACATCTCGACATTTCGTGTAATATACAATAATTCAATTATTCATTGTTGAACAATCTGTGAATTTTATGAGTTATGTATTTTTGAAATGATCAAATGTCAATATAAGTATAATTGGCATATTTTTCATTTTAAGTATTTAGCACACAACTTTGAAAAACCACTGATATTCTATTTTTGGAAAATAAGTCAGAATTTTTGTTTTAGTCTATTCACGCTCATCTAGACTATTTTCTTACTACATATTCTCACCCAATAATTGGAATCAAGAGCTAGTCTTTTGATTAAGTCTAATCGAATCCAAAAGTTTTGAGAATATGAAAGACGATGACAATCCAAAGGGAGCGTATAATAGAGTGTCAGTTTTCAAAGGTGAAAATTTAATTTATTGGAAAGCGATCATGTATGCACACTTACTATTTTTTGACAAAAATCTATGATGTGTTGTCACCGAGGGACCATTCAGGCGATAATGATGTTGTCAAACACCCAAAAGATTAGACCTAATGATGAAACCAAAAAGGCTTCATATTATTTGAAAGCAAGGAACTTACTTATCTATGCTTTAAGCACAGAAGTGTTCTATGCTATTTCACACCATACGGGTGTCAAAGGTATATGGGACATTCTCCAAATTCTCTATAAGGGAACGAGTGATGTCAGGGATTCTAAGATCAATATGTTTACATAGGAGTTCGAACTATTTCATATGGAACCCGGAGAGTCCGTGAATTCCATGCAAACTATATTCCTCCACTTAATCGACAAATTAAGCAACTTGGTTAAAACCTTTTCTAACAAATATTATGCTAAAAAATATTGAGATCTATGTGTAGAGAGTGGCAACCAAATGTTACCACTATAAAAGAAACTAAAGATCTAGATACTTTCGATATTACCAAAATGTTTGGGAAGTTAGTTGAGCATGAAAATTAACCGAAATGACTCGTGGATAGCAAAGTAAATTCGAAAAATAAAGAGAAAGGGAAAGAAGAGAAATGATATCTTTCGTTAAAGGCTCCATCATCACAAGGGAAGAAGCCAAAGGAAGAAAATGATAACTCTGACAAAGAAGCTCCTAAAAAGAAGGAGATGAGTTTATTTGTCAAATGCTACAATAGATACTTGAAAAGAAACAAGTTCAAGAATTCTGACAAAGGATTGGAAAATTTCATAAATAATCACCTGCTCAAAAGAGAACACAAGAAAAAAGATGACGATATTACGTGTTACAAGTGCGAAAATTGGGACATTTTAGAACAACTTGTCTAAGTTACCAAACATCATAAAAAGAAAGATAAGGAATTCTACAAGATGAAAGGAAAAGTTCCAAAGGTCTTGGAGTCTATATCGCGTGGGAAAAAGATGACGGGATCTCTTCCTAAGGTTCTTTCTCAAGTTCTAATGATGAGTGTGCCAACCTTTTTTTGATGTCACATAAGAAAGGTAAAACTACAAAGGTATATAATTCTGAACCCGGTGATGAATATTCATATAGTGAATTGTCGCAATCGTTTAATGATATGTATGTAGAATCCATAAATGTTTTTAAGAAAATTTCTCTCCAAAAGGAAATGATTTTGAAACTTGAAGAGGAGATAAATAATCTTAATCACTCTTTAGAATCTCTTAAGGAAGTGCATACATCTCTAGTTGATGAGCGTTATAATGTTTCTGACACTTTAGATGAAATGGTAGAAAAATTAGAATGTGTTACGTGTCCAACTTTAAAATTTGAAATTGAAAGTCTTAAAGGACAACTAACTCATGCTACTTTACTATCTTGTATTTATTCTAGCTCTTCAAGTGATAGAGGGACGATTTTCAATAAAAATCCTCATGTCACTAGGAGATATAGAAAAAGCATTTCATCTAAATCTATGTGTCATTATTATAAGGATAAGGGACACATTAGGCCTTTTTTTCATATTAGGAACGTTCAAGTTCCCAATGGTAAGTCGACATGGATTCTTAAGTGTATCTCAACTAACCCCAAAGGACCCAACTAAAATTGGGTACGTATTTCTATATATTGATGTTTTGTGCAGGAGTGTCTAGAAATGTTTATGGATTCTTAAGAAAAGAGAAGTAATATGTATCTAATCATATTTTATTTCGTTGTATACTTGTTTATGTATTAGTGTTGTTACTTGCTAACTTTAATTGTGCCGAAAGTTTAGTCAAATGTCATCGTAATTGGTATAATCGTTTGATTCTCCTTTATCTTCGTGCAGTTGCATTTTATTTGTCTTAATTTCTTTTAATTTTTTTGTTTGCAATCATGCATCAAAATTATTTTTCGTATGCACCAAAATTATCTTTCATATGTACTAAAGTTAATTTTCATCTGCATCAAAATATTGTTTTAGTTGCATTAAAATCATTTTCATTAAATTCTCCTTATATTAAATGGTTTTTACATTTAATGTTTTAAGAAAATCATATTTATTCTAGTTCAAATTTTCTTTGATGATATTATATTTGGTTCTACTAATGAATCTTTTTGTCAAGATTTTTCTACTTGGACGCAGAGATTTTGAGATGTCTTTTATGGGAGAGCTGACATATTTTTTAGGATTGTAAATCAAGCAAGCAGAAGAAGGGACTTTCACAAGTCAAACAAAATACTGCTTAGAACTTCTCAGTAAGCTCGATATGAAAGACTCTAGAATTATATCA